TGCTGTCCTTTTGTTCTTCAGTCTAGTTGTGGAGGACGTCGCTTCACTGGCCCATGTTGGTATTATCATTGCGCTCTTCCCGGGTGAGGCAGATCGATCGCTGGCCCTGGACGGCCACTCATGGCAGCTCACATCAGCTGCCAGCCACTCTCGCTGGCTGCTGGTCACTCACGGTAGCTTATGGCAACCCACTGCAGCAGGGGCTGCAGCCTACGCCATCGCCAGCAACTCACGGCAGCCCAGCTCCAGGTCAAACTGTTGTTCACCATCTTAGCTGTAGAGGGTGCAGTGTCACTGGCCCATGTGGGATCTGAACCGGTGGCCCTGCTGCTCAGAGCTTGCGCTCCTAAGCCAGCTCTTAACCAATGAGCCACTCGGCTGGCCCCAGCAAACCATTTTTTAAAATTGCTTCCTGAAATGTCAAAAGAATTGATATATGGGTACTTTTACAAAAATTACTTATTGATTACATTTATTATTTATCATCTGTCTTTTCCCAGTTGAATGTAACTCACAAGAGATTTTTGTTTTGTTCACTGATATATCCCAAGCCTGGTGCATAGTAGGAGCTCAATAAATACATGTTGAATACCGAATGACTTGGTTACAGATCTCAGTGCTTATTTTCTCTTCATCTTCTAGATGTTTATTCTTTTCAAGAAGAGGAACCTGTTTTGGATCCTCATTTGGCCAAGCACCTAGCACATTTTGGAATTGACATGCTTCATATGCATGGGGTAAGAACGTCAACTTTGGTTTCTATTTCCACCTTGTTGGGAGCGGGGGAACTGTTTGGTTTATTTAATATATACTTCCTCTAACATGAATTTTTATTTTATAGGTTTTAGGTTTTAATGTTTCATTTACTTCTTGAATGTAATTAAGTGATGTTTTCTTTTGCTTACCAGCTTGGATTTTTTAATGTTATAATAAAAATGGCACCTCGTCAAGTACTATTTTGTTTTAGTTGGAGTTTACTTCTAAAATTTTTATCTCCTCTGATGGAGAGTTGTATGAATCACTCTTTGTTTCACTAAAGGGAGAAGGTACAGGAAGATGACCTTTAAAATTATCTGTGACCAACATCACTTTAATTAATTTCAGGAAGGGAAGCAGAGCTCCTGGGGGCTGGAAGGACTAAGCCAACATATTATTGTTGATGGAAAAGCTTTGCTTCATTTAATATTGTGTTTTTAAACTGCTATGATGACTATGTAAATTTGTCCCTGTGAGGTGCTTTTTAAATGTGCATATTTTGTTTTAGCTTTTTCCTCCCATTCCAGGCCATGTCCCTCTCCTCAGGCTCTCTTTCTTTCTGTCTCCTCTTTCTCACTCATGTCACTTGTTAATTTACTTTCTCTGCTCTTCTTTAAGCTTTCCTCCTATTTTGAGGCACCCCCAAGTCCCAGGGTTTTATTCCACTTTCCTCTCAAACTGCCTTGTCTTTTTGTGTGCTGTGTTGTGTTTTATCTTCTCTTGAAATTATTCAACATACTTGCTTCTTTTTAAAAATTTTTTTATTCCAATTTGTCTTTCTTCTTCTTCCTATCTCCTTCTTCTTAGTCTCTCTTTTATTTTTAAATCTTTTAAATGTTTTTTTTTTATTGCGGAAAAAGATGTAACATAAAGTTTACCATTTTAACCATTTTTTAATTTAATTTAATTTTATTGGGGAACCGGGGAAGGGGAACAGACAAGTTGCTGTCCTTTGGTTCTTCAGTCTAGTTGTGGAGGACATCGCTTCACTGGCCCATGTTGGTATTATCATTGTGCTCTTCCTGGGTGAGGCAGATTGGTCACTTGTTGCCAGCCACTCACACTGGCTGCCGGCCACTCACAGTAGCTTATGGCAGTCCACTGCAGCCCACATCGTTGCTGGTGACTCATGGTAGCCCAGCTCCAGGTCAAGCTGTTGTTCACCATCTTAGCTGTAGAGGGCGCAGCATCACTGGCCCATGTGGGATCCAAACCGGCGGCCCTGCTGCTCAGAGCTCAAGCTCCCAAGCGAACTCAACCAACAAGCCATTCCAGCCGGCCCCCATTTTAACCATTTTTAAGTGTACAATTCTGTGGCATGAAGTACATATACATTGCTGTGCAACCATCACCATCTCCATCTCTTTTTTATTAGGTTGTTTATTCCTCTGTTTCGTTGGGGGTGGAAAGAAGCAGAAACATCAACTGCTGTTAGAAATAATTCATGGGACATGATCATTGAATGATAATCACAGCTAAAGTTGTTTTTCTTCAATGACTTTGCCCCAGACAGAGAACGGGCTCCGGGACAATGACATCAAGCCACGAGTCAGCGAGTGGGAAGTGATCCAGGAGACGGGGACGAAGCTGAAGCCCATGTATGGCCCAGGGTACACGGGCCTGAAGAACCTGGGCAACAGCTGCTATCTCAGCTCCGTCATGCAGGCCATCTTCAGCATCCCGGAATTCCAGAGAGCGTAAGTTTCCCCGATGCAGAGATGCAGACCTGGGCGCACAGCACTGCCCTCCGTCCCCTCCAGGTCCAGCCCAGTCCGTCTGTGCTGGGGAAGCCCATCTTCATCAGCTGCAGGACATTTCGCCACATCATGCATGGTGTGACTTCTTGCCCTAAAGCTGGGTGAGCACCCTTGTCAAGTGTTATGGGGATCAGGAGAGATGAGGATAGCTTTGTGAACTGAAAAACCTCCCCCCCCGGGATTTCTTATAGTAATGATGGCTTCCACTTTTAGACCCTCTATGCCAAGAAAATATTAATCGTTAATCTGCAACAGCCAGGCTGTCAAACCCCTTTCTATAGATGTGCTAGGAGAGAGTCAATGATCTGTTCGGTCAATGTTGTCCTCCTGGTGAGTGCAGTTTCTTAGAGGATGTAGGCTTTTCCTTTTTTTGCCCCTCAAAATGTGGTTCACAGACGGGTGCCAGTCCTCACACTGCTGGATACGGCTCTGCAGTGACATAATATGGAAATCAAGAGTGAGCACTTAGAAATTTTTGTAGCAATTGGACATTGACTTGTTTTATAAATGGCATTTTATTTTTCTAATAATTTATTTTTATTCTATTATTTAAATGTATCATCTGTATGAGTTGAAATAAACAAAAAAGCTGCAGATAATTTTGGAGGCACCGATTTAGGGCACGTACAGGCCATCTCCCTCCTGCCACGCCGAGGGTTAGAGTAGCCGCGTCTGTGGCCATTTTCTTCCTTAGGCTGTGCTAGGACAGGGAAACACACAGCCTGGACCTGTGGCCGTGTACTCGTGAGCAGCTACGAGTTTAGGAAAGAGTCTCTTGTGTTTTCCAGAGTGGGTAGGTTTCTACCTTGGTTCAAGTATGGAAGAGGGCACACGTGTGCTAAGACAGACAGATGGGCAGACAGCACACTAGGCATAGCACAGGGCAGTATTTTGCCCAGTGGACTTGAAATGCTAATGGCTTTAATAGTGGTTAATAAAAAGTATTTCAGATAGCCTTTTCTTTGTCTCTCTTGGCGTTTGAAGACTGACCTCTTACTGTTTTCTGGCTTTGGAAATTTATGGTCCGTTTTCCGTGACTGGTTGTCATTTTTCATCCAGTCAGTAAAGAGTGGGTTCTGCGCTGCTCAGCAGTGTGCTGGGGGTTGAGGGTTCCGTGGTAAACAAAGGGACATGGTGCCTGGCCCCACTTGGGGAAACAGACATTAAGTAAGTAATCGTAAGAACAGCTGCTTGGTTATAAACAGGGTAAGTTCAATGAAGGAAAAGGGAAGGAGGTGGTCAGGAGGACCTCTTTGAAGAAAGGTCGCACACGGGGGCACCCATCTTGACTGATGTGTGGGTGGGGTGGGGACCTGCAGAGGGTGTTGGGCAGAAGGAAGAGCAAATTTGAAGCTCAGATGGGAAAACCGTTTCAAAGGTATGCCTCATGCATCGTATTATTTTTATTAATTCTTACCTATACCTCATACTTGTATTGTCAATGTAGAATCATCTTATATGTCTCATGCTCCAAGATTTTTTTTTTCAAATATTGAAGGAACGCCCTTATGGTAGGTGTTGTATAATTATTATTTCTCTTAAACTAGAATGGAAGAAACTTGTGTTCTTGTGGTTCACAGCTCAATAACATTTTTAGTGCTTTACAATCTATAGTTTTTGAAAATTCTTTCTATACTCCAAAGTTTTATGTACAATTACCTTTCTGACTATTTTCTTCCGTGAAAAATGTAATTCATGTCTGTGCTTTGGGTTTAAGATTCTAATCTCTCACTTCAGTCTTGTTTCAAGGCTTTTAGAATTTTATATTATCTAATATTTTATATTCTGTGTTCTGAACATTCACTGTAGATATTAGAACATGAGCAACTTATTATTTATACTCCCCCCCACATCTTTTTGTTCTTTTACCAAATATCCATGGATTGAAATACTTGCTGTTCAAGCTCTTTTTCCCCAGTGGGACTAACTCAGTGGGGTTTCGTCCAGGGGCAGTGCCTCCGTTTTGTAAGTAGAAAGAGTGACTCACGGAGAGATTAGATGACTTATGTACAACCACAGTGTAATTTGGGAACTTCAGCCTGACTCCTGATACCCTGTCTGCCACTTGGATCCAGATTACATTTCAAAATAATTCTGATGAGGATCAAATCTAAATAAACTGGTGTATGCATTGAATGACAACTAAGATGGATTCTCAGATAGCGAATACACATTTTTTTTTCTTTAAGAATCACTAGATTACAAACTGAAGGTATAATATGTATTTTAAAAATTATCTAGCATTATTTCTGCATTTTTGTTTAATTTTGTTGTAATGGATGATATTCCTCAGTGATTAGGAATGTAAATTACTAGCAAAATGGACTTTTTGGACATGAAAGATTTACCCTGTTTACCTTTATTCTTCTCCACCAATCTTGCCTGAAAACAAGCCTTTTCACTAATGTTCGTCTTCTCAGTGAGGTGTTTTTTTGTCTTGTCAGGTTTTGAGGTATGATAAAGACTGGATTGTAAGAGAGTTAATGAGTTCATCATGTTGTATATTCCTTGGAATGTGCCAGTGCAGCCTCTGGCTCTCAATAGTTTGGTTCCAAAGCTCGGCTAATCTATTATTTGGCTCTTGACCTGTTGAAAATTTCTAGATGGAATTGTTGCCCTAGTGACACTCCAAAAACCATTTGAGTGGGACTGTCCCAGAGAAGTGTGCTCTGTTAATTTTGATATAGGTACATACTCTAGGATACAAATTCTGAGTTTGTAGATAGCATGTGCCAGTAGTTGAGGTTTCTAATTAGAGGTCATTGCTAACTAACTACTAATGTGTCATGGTTCTCTGCTAGGGCTTTATTGTAGTAAGGTTTTTTTTCTATTGGGTTATAGGTAGTCAATTATGGAAATGAGTTATGTGATTACACATGATGAATGTATTCAGTCAACATGTTTATTGAGTGTCTTTTACATGTCAGATACTGTTCTGGTGCTGGCGATGCAACGATTTAGACAAGTGAAGCCTCTGCCTTCGTGGAGATTATATTCTAGTATGTAATCTCTAGCGAGACAGTCAAGAAACAAGAACATAAATAAATTATATAATTGCAAATAGTAATGCATGTCAAGAAGACTATCAGCCAGGGTCAGGTGATAGGGAATCAGGAAGCGGGGGAGGTGACATTTAATCAGACCTAAGCAGGAGCAAGGGTCTGTGGAGAGAACATCCCAGGAAAGAGGCAGAAAATGGCTTGACCTTGAAGCAGGAGCGAGCTTGGTGTGCCCTGGGACAGCAGGAAAGGCAGGGGGCTGGGGCGTTAGTCTGGGGGAGAGCGGTGGGAATGAAGTCAGAGAAGCAGGCAGAGCAGGGCATATGAAGGGCCAGAGAAAGGGATGTGCTTCTCGATTCTCCTTCCTGGAGCTGTCAGGCTCAGCGAGTCAAAGCCTGAAACGGGAGGGGGGGGGGCGGGGATAACACAAAGCAGAGGGTGTGGAATAGGAAATGACCTTGAGATGTGAAAGGAATGATTATACATTGGGATTGGAGGTAGGTGGTTAAAGTCAGCACTGCCGTCAGGATAAGCTGGTCAGGAGGACGAGTTGTGGACTGCTCAAGGGACCATGGACAGGGCAGGTACGGCCGACAGGGTGGTTCAGAGCACAGCTTTGTAGCCAGGCGGCCTGGGTCCACTCTGGGCTTCGTCACTCTCTCCCTGGGTGACTTTGGAATCTACCTAATGAATTTGCACCCTGATTTCTCATCTCTCAAATGGGGAAACAAAACGAATCACTTGCTCATATGGTTGTGTTAGAGTCACTTGGAACTTATAAAGGATTCCAAATCCCAGGCCTCAGCCTCAGGCAGTGAAATCAGGACATCTGGGGGTGGCTCTGGCTTTTGTGTTTTTTTTTTAAAGAAACTCTTTTAGGGGATTTTAACTCACACCCAGGGTTGAGACCCACTGATAGAAGCATTTCAGGGAGGTCCAGGAAAATGGCTGTCGAGGTAGGAGCTCAGGAAGAACTTTGCTTCGGGCAGTTGATTTAATTTTGACAGAAAGGTGGGAAGTTCGTAGCTAGGATGATGGCTTATTTTGGTTCTGTTCTTCTCTCAGCTCCTGTGTTTTGACTGTTCTTATATTCTAGGTATGTAGGAAATCTTCCAAGAATATTTGACTACTCTCCTTTAGATCCAACACAAGATTTCAACACACAGATGTAAGTGCTCAGTTTTTTTAGAAACGTCTCCAATAAAGTGTTCATAGTGGTTCTCTCTAGGTTGCAGAATTAAAGGCAATTCTTTTTTCTCCTTTATTTTCTGTATTTTTAAAAGTCTTCTAAAATGAGCATATGTTACTTTTATACGAATGAAGAAATTAATAAAATTATCTCTAAAGTACTGAGGAAAAGTTGAAAAAGAATCAGTATCAAGGAGAAGCAAATAAATAAGTTATTTGTGAGTAACTGAGATAAAGTGGTTCACCTAAAAAGTAGCTGTACTTATTGAGATTCATAGGTAATTTTAATACCTCCAAGCGGAAACGACAGTGACCGTTTTGTTTTTGCTTCTCCCTCCTGTCCAGGACTAAGTTAGGACATGGACTTCTCTCAGGCCAGTATTCAAAGCCTCCAGTGAAATCGGAACTCATTGAACAGGTGATGAAGGAGGAACATAAGGTATGTGTCCTAGTGATCTAGTGATTGCCATGTTGCTTTGCAGGGAGGAGGGACCTTTACCAGCTAGAATGTGGATTTCCTGTGATTTGGCAAATGGTGGCCATAAATTTAGCAAGCTGCCAGAACGGCTGTTTCATGTCTGAGTGGAGGGTGTCTGCATGCATGCTCTTCAAAATTGTGGTAAGGAGCAACCAGGGGTGGGGTTTCTAGTGGCAGTTGCTTCATGGAATTTATGTCATTGCCATCATTAATGGTCTTCAGAAACAATAGTCTTCATAAACAATAGTCTTCATAAAATAGAGCTGAGATGGAAGGAATAAACTGTATAAAAACATAAACATTTTTCCCCTTGGTAACACCATCTTGGCCTTAGAGTGTCTTTCTTCTTTTAAGCCTCACCTTTGTTGGCTAGGGTTTCTCAAGAGGCTGAGTGTTATAAAAACAGCACTCACATTCATAGACACCCCCCCACCCCTCCCCTAAAGCTGAGGATTTGGAATTTCTGGGGAGGGCTGGGCAGTCCTCATTTTTGGTAAGCTGCCAGGGGGTTTGTTAGCACACTCGAAGTATGAGACACGCATTTAGCCATTTAGTCACTATTAATTGATAGAGTAATTGAATGATATGCTTCATCTCCTAATAGCCAGACTTGCTTTTCCATGTGCTTGAGGGATAGGCCACTGACCCCTCCCTGGGCTGCTCTGTTTCACGCCTCAGCAGGGTGCTACTCACATCCTCGTCTGTTTGAGTGGCGCTCTTGGCATTCTGCAGGGCACCGCCTAGCTGTGTGTGGCGGCCCTAGCTCATGTGGCTGCAGATGTCCTGAATGGAATGCGTGCCCCACTTGCCAGACACCTGCTCTGCCTCCAGAGCTACCTGTCGTGGCTTAGTGGGCACCCTCTTCCAATTCTGCTTCTCCAGTGTTTGACCTCTGTGCTCCCATCTCGCGTCAGTCATCCTTAACATGTGCCTGTAGACTGAGAGCAAGAATCCAAAGCGAATAAACTCTTTTTTTTATAATAAAGCCAGATAGTTGGGGACATGGAGCAAACGGGAGAAGGTAGTTTATGAAGGGAACATACAGAGGCAGTGTTTGGGGGTGGGGACAAGGAAGAAGGTTGTGAGAAGGGTGGAGCAGTGTACAGACATCCTGAATGGCCAGGCCAGGAGGTCAGAGTGTGGTGTGGCAGGAGGACACGTTCCCCAGTTGCACTGTTATCCGGCCTTGCAAGATAATGAGTTTCCTTATCCATCTGAGACAGGAAGACCCTCACCTGGGGTGCAGTTGAGGAGATGGTTTGGGTGTAGGGCAGGGCGGTAAGGTTACCCAGGCTGCTTCTACCTCCGAGTTCCTGGGAACCTTTGAAGAGGTGATGTGAAAAATCTTGGTTTAAAATTTTGTGTTTCATCACATTTGCCCAGGCAGTCTCTACTTAGGCCACCCTTGGAACAGCGCCCACCCTCCCTGGTGGAGGAGAAGGAAACTGGCTTGGGCCCCGGGAGCCTGGTTTCCTCTCCTGGGACCTGTGGGGCCATGGGCAAGTCATGTAACCTTTTCATCTCCGCAGTCAAATGGCAGAATTGATCTAGGTGGTGCTTGTGAATATTGCAAGCGTGAAGGTATGCCCCTCTAATATAAATAAAATCTGTTGTGCTTTTGGAATCTCTTCATTTGAGAAAATGTGACATGAAAACTCATCAACTTAGCAATGTTCGGAAGTAAGATTTAGTTTTGTTAATGTCACAAGTCATTTTAGTGAGCGTTTGGTGCAGTAGCTCTGTGATCTCCAGGGGCCTGAGGCTTGCAGGTGGGAACCCCTGTTCTGTCTAGTTCAAGCTGTGTAACCTGGCAGCATTTGGGCCATATCTGTCCTGCAGGTGAGTTTTGCTTGGCCCACACATAAACATCTGCATTTCCAACTTCTTTTAAAAACTCAGAACCTCTGGCAATTCCAGGCGGAACGCAGTTGGCTGGAGCTGAGTAGCAGCCCTCCCTTCACACGACATGCAGTCCCAGCTGGCTCCAGTCCTTTTGTGACTCCTCACCTGGCTGGAAGCCTGGGTATTTGGGTGTGCGACCCTTGATTTAGAAGATTTGTAAAATCCTTTCCCTGCTCTGAGGTGCCATGATCAATATGGTCCCTATAACGTTCAAAATGAGCTTGAATTGACCAGGTGATTTTCTTTGTGGTCCTGAAGGCATCAGTTTCAAGCTGTGACTTGAATAGACAAGTAATTCATAGTAAACTCTCCACTCCCCTTGACAGTGGAGGGATTTACGTTATGGGGCATCAGGATTGTCACTGGCAATTGGTTTCAGAGAAACCAATTTGTGAGAATCTTTCTTCTCTCAGGTATCAGGAGCCCTTGGATCTTGTCCTAGGCCTCTGGCATTGGTGACTTATACATGAGCCTAGAATGCCCCAAGAGAGGAAAGAAGATATGCTGAATCAGGGAAAAGGATGGATTAAGAGAGGACTGTGTGGTGGAGGGGAGTGGGCACATGGGCTGGACTGCCTTTTTACAGGGCCACCACTGCCGTGATACGAATACCAACATTCTGTAGTACTGATGAAAGGCCAAGGACCTTCCTGTATGTTCACTGATGCAGAAACGGATGCTCAGAAACGTTGCCTACAGTTGCAGAGCTAGTGAGTGGAGAGCTGGGCTTTCCACCAGGCAGTCTGCCCCTGAGCCTGTGTGTTTGACCACTACTCTATCCTGTTCCCTAACAGTTGTTGCAGGACTTGGTGGTGGTGAGAGGATGACAAAAGGGGATGCTTAGAGTGTGCAGAATTACCAGCTGGCTCAGTAACTTTGGTTTCTCACCTCTGTCTTATATCTTGGGTGATTTCTGTTATATACCTCCTGGTGTTAAAGGGGTCTGCTACAGACCAAGATGAAATCTAGTTTGTATATATGCATGCTTAACACATATTTCACCTATAAAAAGGTTTGCAGTGTTTATTTGGGGTACTGCCATTTCTTCATACATTTTTGAATTGATTTTGAAAATTCAGTTGTGCCTGTAGTAGATAAAATCTTCTCACTATGAAAGGACACTTTTCTTCTTCAACAAATATAATCCTGATTTTTATGCATTCTAAGACAGTACTTTCACACATTTTAATGCTGAATATCCTATAATTTATTTATCCTTCTGAAGATAACATGTTTTAAACAATTCTGTATTCCCAACAAACTGTGTTTCTTAACGACAATTCATTTGATTTTCCATGTAAATAATCCTTGATACATAGTTGCTAGTCTCAGTTTTTGATCAGCATGAGGTAACCAGTGTTATACTGGGAGGTGATGTAATTTTAGCCCCAAACTAAGAACTTTGTTTTCACTAACTTCCATTTATATTTCCTAGAAATGTAACATTTGTAACTCACCTTTTGAAATATGAAAAACAGTTTAGGGAACCTCTTTGTTCCTTTAGCTTGGGAGATATTAGGTTTGAACCTGGGTTAGGAACAGCTGGTCCAAGGTTTAACTTTAAAAGTTGAAATCAGGGCCGGCCGAGTGGCGCGGTGGTTAAGAACTGGCTTAGGATGCCAGAGGGCCCCGGTTCGGATCCCACATATGAGGGCCAGTGACACTGCCCTCTACAGCTAAGATGCTGAACAACAGCTCGATCTGGAGCTGGGCTGCCGTGAGTTGCCGGCGACATTGTAGAATACAGCCCCTTTGGCAGTGGGTTGCCATGGGCTACCGTGTGTAGCCAGCAGCCAGCGTGAGCGGCCAGCAGCCGCTGTGAGCGGCCATCCAGAAGCCGGCGACTGATCTGCCTCGCCCGGGCAGAGCACAATGATGGTGCCAACTTGGGCCAGTGAAGCAACGTCCTCCACAACTAGACTGAAGAACAAAAAGACAGCAACTTGTCTGTTCCCCTTCCCCCAATTCCCCAGCACTGTTCCCATCCCCCCAATTCCCCAATAAAAATCTTTAAAAAAAAAAAGTTGAAATCAATAGACAGTATATGCTTGCGTATTGGGAACAGGCTGAGATGGCTCTTTTTTTAAAATTTCTGTGGTCTTAGAAATGTAAATATCTTTACAAATGTTGCTCTAGTGTGATACAAAGCCTCAGTCATGCTGCTTGCTTATTAATTAAAGCATTAGGCTCGGGGGAATATAAGTGGCTCGTCTGGCTGCCCTCTTGGCGCAGTGTTCAACAGAAAGCCCTGTGTAAGCGTTTGGGAAAGATTTTTAACACCATAGACCTAGCTCTAAGTTTAGCTCATCTGTCTTGCAATTGCTGATGGAGAAAGTAAGTACAGTATCCTATAAATACAACAGGTTCCTTAGGTGGTGCTATTTTGGAGGCTTTCTGGGGCTCCCTCTTACAAAATTAGTTGCCAGGATTAGCCATTGCTTTCAGTGCCTGAGGACCAGCTCACAGTGAGAGTGTGTCTGAAGGCAGGTCTGACTCTCGGTCAATTTTCGTGTCTCCCTCTCACCTTGTGTAGTGATAGGCCCACAGGGGACACTTGGGTGATCTTTTGCCCCAGGATGGCTGTAAAGACTGCTTGCTTGAGGTATTGTTTAGCTTGTGTTTCTTATAAAGTGGAAATTATATCTGGAAACTTGATTAGATTCAGGCTCAATGTTTTTACAGCCCGACTTTCTAATATACAAGATTTGAAGTGGACACAGTAATAGTTGAGCATGGGAATTTGTGAGACCTCCCGTCTGAAATCAGATAGCACTGATGTGGGGCATGGTTGCGGGCAGACTGGGATGACTGTTGATCAGGGGAGTAGGTGTGGAGCAGCCGAGTTTGAGCTAAAACGCTCAAACCCAGCTGTGAAAGCCGGGAGCTGGTCTGCAATGTGATGTGGAGAGGGAGAGGTACCATCTCACTGGTTAGGAAGCTTTTTTTTTTTCAAATAATTTCTTGATGATGGACAACCCTCAAGCTATAGCTTGATTGTTGAATGAAGGATTAAGGAAGGTCAGTCGAGGGACAAGAAGTGAATAGGCACAGAAAGAGAAGAGGCATGGGAGAGGAATGAATGGGGCTGGGACACAGGTCATTCTGAGTGTCTGGGGTTTTCTGGGCTTTTCACCAGGGTCTCTACTGAAACTCCTCCTCCCAGTTGTACTACCCCTTTGTGGCACAGACCAGCAGGCAGCCTTTCAGAATTTACTAACTTGCTAAACTTTTCCAAGTAGCTGTTTTGGTGGGGCCTGGCAGCCACATTAAGCTCAAAGCATAACTTGTAAGGAGTAACAGGATCAGGAGCAGGCTGTGAGTGCGTGCTCACGTGAGTGCCACACAGGAACGCATGATGCGAAAGATTCATTCCAAGTGGGGCCTCTACACTGCTGAGAGCGAGGAAGTAGTTGCTGGACTGGCCTGTAGTGTTGGCCCCAGAGGTGTGTGGGTTTGAAGAGGGCTTACCCAGAGTCCAAGACATACTTTCTCTTTTTCTGGCAACTGGTCAGATGGATTCAGGGTCATCAGAGATGAGAACTAGGCACATGTGTGCAAGAAGCAGTATTAGGACAGGAGAGAGGGAGGGAAAGAGAGAGAGAGAGAGATAAAGAAAAAGAGAGAGAGAGAGAGAGAGAGAGAGAGAGAGAGAGAGAGAGAGAGAGAGAGAGAGAGAGACTTTTCTAGCTGTGCGATCCTGGGCCAGTTACTTACCATCTCTTTGCCTCAGTCTCCTAATCTGTCTAGTGGAGAAAATAATATTAATCACCTCATAAGATTGGGTGAGTTAAGCAAGATTCACATATAAAGTGCTCAGAACTATGCCTGAACCTAGCAAGTATTCTTCCCAGTACCCAGAATGGTGTCTGACGTATTATAGCACTCAGTAAATTTCTGTTGAATGAATGAATGAATGTTGGCCATTATGCACAAAGATAAGGATTGTTTTTGCATGCTTGTGTTGGCTGATACTATGTAGATATACATTAGCATTGTGAGTGAAGAAAATTACAATTTTTAGGAGGTGTATATACAGGTAGTAAAATTAGCTATCAGGTATGAATTGGTCTTTACCTACCTAGCCCTGGAAGCACACCTGAAGCCAAGTATGTGTGTGTTAGCTGGGCATTTATGTACAAGCTCCAAGTCCTCAGATGCCCGAATGCTGCCACCTTGGGGACTTCTCCTCTAAGAGCTGCTAGCTCTGTTTCAGATCCTCTGCAGTGTTCTTTTACATTTGTTATAGGTCTCTGTGTGGTCACTCATCTCCCCCATTGTCTGTCAGCTCTCAGAGGGCAGAATCCCTAGTAGTGCTCTGCAGGAAGTAGGTGGTCAGTCAGTACTGGAGGACTAGATCAGATATGTTTTCAGCATGACAGGAAAATTCACCTGAGTTTTATTAGAAACACTGCTTAGAACATGTGCATTGGAGAGATTTTATATGTAGAGCCGCCCCTTGGCTGCGGGGAGGTGGCTTTGGGAGTTTTTCCATCACCTGTTGCACCTGACTGCATGATTGTGCACACCTGTTCTGGTCTCCAGACCCTAGGCGTTGACCTGAATGTCCAGGAGACATGGCCTCCGCTGTCCAGATTGCAAGCAGGCCAAGGAGATGGGCCAGAAGCAGGCTGAAAGTGAAAGGAAGTAGTGGCTATTTTGTGCTCTGTGCCAGCGATGGCCCAGAGAGCGAGTTCTCTGGACTTCAGAGAAAGGGAACATGGCTTGGAAGCTGAGCATGCTGAGGTTTTGTGAAAAAGCGGGTGGAACAGCAGCCACACATTTGCAGATAGCACGAGTTACTCCTTTTGCTTGATTGGCAAGGTGAGGTTTGTCTCACTGAAACCTACTGTGTGCTACAGCTGCCACTGTGTTTTTGCTGCAGAGAGCCTGGGCTGAATCAACCTGGAGTTCGTTCTGGCTCTGCTCTTTGTTAGCTGCGTGATAATCTGGTCTCGGAAGACCTATCTGGCGCTTCTCTGCCAGTCACAGTTTCCCTAGCTATAAAATGGGGACAGGGTTGGTACCTTCTTCGTAGGGTTTTTGTGAATATTAAATGCGGTGACATTTGGCACCTTATTAGGTGGGCTGAACTTGGAGGGGACTCAGGAAACAGCGTTGTCGTGAGCCCACCCCGTCCTCAGAGGCCATGTGGACGCTCCCCACTCTGCCGCTTTAGAGCATCTTAGGCCGATCGCTCAGATTTCCTGTGTTTTCATGCATGTTACCAGCGTTAGGAAGTTCACCTTAATGCCAGTTTTAAGCTTCTCCCCCTACCAAGCTCAGGAGTCTTGGAAACCAGCAGCAATGCAGCGGGGCCAGCATCGGCACCCTCTGTAATCTTTTTGCCCTTACTTCACCTCTTTGCCTCCTTCCACCCTCTCTGTCCCCTCCAGAGTCAAGATCAAGGGATGGGGAGATTAGAGACGCCGCGGAGCCTCTCACTGAGCTAGTGTGTGTGGCTCCCTCTTGGCTGCCATGTGTCTTCTGTCATGGCCGGCCTTTTGGTGGGGGCACAGTAGTGGGTTTTTCAGAGATGCCCTTCCACCCACTGGTTTCCTCAGGGACCTCCACGAGGACCCTTCCTGATGACCCGGTAACCCCCCACCCTGGCCCCTGCCCCGAGACTCCCTGGCTGGCTGACCTCCCATCATCCTATGCAGTGTCCTTTCTGGAGGGGCCTGGCTGCCTTCTGAGCTATGCTTTTAGCCCCTGGGGAAAGTTCATGTGTCCTTGTCCTGCCAAAGATGCCCCACCCACTCTTCCCACTCTGCCATCCTAGCAGCTGCAGCCCGCCTCCTTCCAGGTCTCCAGGCGAGGGGCACACGCCCAGGAATGCCCTGTGCTCTGCCCCCAGAAAGCACCCAAGGCAGGCTCGGGAGCGGCCTGCAGTGGGGACCGGGGGCACGCAGTGCCATGTCCTTTATTTGCGAGTCCCCCAGTATTTACCAGGGGTTTTCTCATACTCTCTCATGGGGAGGGAAGGGAGGTGCTGTGGAGCTTGCCTCTCCGTTAGCTTTCTTCAGAGGACGTCGCCTCCCTAGTGCATCTCTAGCCTGCCCTGACATAGGCCGTAATGGACCAGCGTGGCCACTGCATAGCAAGTCCTGTGAGGATGGGCCTAGTGTCTCTCTTTAGAAAGTGGATTTTTAGTTTCAAGTCTTTGGCGTTGAGTCAACAGGAAAAGTCCCATCCTGTTCTGACATCAGGTTCAGAGTGCAGGGTCTGGTACATACGAAACCTCCAACGCATGCCGGCATTATTATTTACCTTCTGTGGGCTTCCATTCTCTCATCTGAAAATCAGGGCTGATGGTAGTCCTCACCCTGCTTGCCACTCAGTGCTGTTAATGTGTGTGAAAGTATGGTGAGTTGATTTTATTTTTATATTTTAGCCTCAACAGAATGGGATCTCTCCACGCATGTTTAAGGCCTTTGTAAGCAAAAGTCATCCGGAGTTCTCCTCCAATAGACAGCAGGATGCCCAGGAGTTTTTCTTACACTTGGTGAATCTAGTAGAGGTGAGTCAGTCAGTCTTCAAAAATACTCAGGAGGGCTGTAAGGAGTGTGCCCAGCCCCCACGTGCAGTTCACGCTGGCATGACCACAATGCCCCCACCCCTTCCCTAAATCTCTCACTGTCCAAACGTGATCAGACGTGGCTGCCTCTTTGAGGCTTCTCTGCTCAGCTCACCTGGTGTCATCAATCCTCGTGGCCTGTTTTCTAGGCACTCGTGTCGCCCTGCCCTCCTTTTAACTTGTGTGTGTTATGGGAGTGCTTGTCAGTTCCTTCAGTCACTGTACTTTTCTTTCTTTCTGTTTTTCTTTTGGTGGCAAAGCTTCTTGAGAGCCCCATGTGGTATTTGGTGTCTGCCTGCCACCACTCTGAGATGGTCGCACTGCTCACAGCAGAGCTGAATCACATTAAATGCTCTGGTTTTTAAAAGTTGCCGAGAATTCATAATTAAAGGCTTTTTCCCCCCTCTTAAAAAACTACTTTTTTTTCCCTGATTACAAATGTGTTCTTTGTGGAAAATACAGAAAGGCACAAAGGAGAAGATAAAAATCATCCCTAATAGCAGCCCCTACAAACAACCAGTGTTAACATTTTGGTGTCTGACCAACCTGTTCTTTTCCAGGTGCATTTATTAATTCCCTACGTTCTGTTTCTAAGCAATGTTTTCCACTTCACCTGCTGTGAACATTTTGCCATGTCATTACATACTTGAATGCAGCATGATTTCTTTTTTAGTTGTGAATAATTTATCCAAATGCATTAATATAATCATGTTATCCATTGCTTTAATTTTTCCAGGGCAATCCTTTCTCTTTAGTTTCACCTCCTCATCCCCTTTCTTCTAATTCCATCTAGGTCAGTCCCTCTCCCATGGCTTCTAATGGCTGCATAATATTAATTGCACCAATCCCCCATTCTAGGAGTTTAGATAAATACCGTTGTTTTGCTTTTAAAGTACTCTGGTGAAATAGCATGCCCAGAGGGAATATTTTATAACACCAGGTCTTTGCATCAGAGTTATATTTGATGTAATTTTTCTAATTTTTATTTATGGGTTAATATTCATAAATTCACGAACCTGATGTAATCCAACCTTCAGAGGAACCGCATTGGCTCAGAAAACCCCAGTGATGTTTTTCGGTTTTTGGTGGAAGAACGCATTCAGTGCTGTCAGACCCGAAAAGTCCGCTACACGGAGAGGGTGGATTACCTGATGCAGTTACCTGTCGCCATGGAGGCAGCAACCAACAAAGGTACAGGCTCCAAAGTGGGACATTCGCAGTGTGCTTCTTCATATGTGAAAACCCTTGAAGCAGAGATCATACGGTTCAGTCACTGCACAGTTCTATTAGGAGTAGAACCAGCCCAGATGGTGTCTGGTTTGCATGTCTCTTTTCATCCTTTCTTCAGTCCCCGTGTGATTTTCTTTTGAGAACAATCAGATGCCTCACAGATTTTTGTGGAAGGGGTATGGATGGAACCTATTTTAGAGCCTATAAATTTGACCAACTAGTTGGCTTGGAGTCAGCTTAATTTTAGGGAAAATATTTGTAATTGCACATGTGGAAAATTCTGTAATATTATCAGTCATTAGTTGTGCTATAAAGTCTGGGGAAATGATCAGAACTGCATTTTTTGATGTGAGACATTCAAGCAGAGGTCTCTTAACAAAACCCAGCTTTGGCATCCGAGTATTTCCAGTGCCTCTTGCAGGAGATGAAGTGTGACAGGGCTCTTGATAGGCTCGAGGCTCATAGAGGGGTCTCTGGACTTTGGAGGCAGGAAGAAGGCCGAGATGCTGCCACCAGGTTGGGGTCTGAGGGGGAGGTTCCTGCAGTCGGTCTAGTCTGGCTCTTCCCAGGCAGAACAGATAAATGATATTACCTAGAATTAACATTTTAGAAGCAGAAAAAGGCAAAATATTTGCTAGGTTGCTTTTCTCCTGTGAACAGGTCATTTCTGTCAAGTTCAACAGTCCCCTGGGTGCCCTTTTCCCTTTTATTTTTTTGGGGGTGGTGGTGGCAGTCACTTGATTGTGCGAATTGGAAAGTGGTGATGATGATGAATTTAAAGTGAAGTGATTTCCATTTTCTATAAGCTCATGCTGCTTTTGACCAGTTTTTAAAATTCTTACCCTTCGTACAAAGTAGAAATGAGGGTGAGCGCCTGTGGTTTGTTTCCTGTTTAGAGTTAGGCTTAATTGCTTTCTCTTGCCAGCCTTGGGGACACTGACTCACCTGTTCCGCTCAGTTTTATGATCCTGTCTAACTCGCTGTTTATAATTTGTGAGTGGGAACTATTTTGTTCAGAGAGGAGATTGATAACTTAGTCTCTAGATATTGATCATTGGGAACACCAAATGCTAGCATCCCAGGTATAAGTACATCATACACTGATGGTGGATGGGGGAATGAATTTTAAAAGTGTAGTCTAAGAAAACACATAAGTGAATACATGTGCCTAAAGACTGAATCAGGAGCGAGTTTTTTTTTTTTAAATACAGAAGGAGTTCCCAGAAAAACCCACTCAAAATCTATATAAAATCTTACAGGTAGTTTCCAGGAGCAGATTTGTTGACTTGTGGGAAGTTCACGGCGTGCTCACTTCTTTTCCCGTTGGTGTTTTATCATTTGAGCAGGCTAGTGTAGAAAGGCCTTCTAGGTGGGTTGCTCTGAAATCTGAGGTATGGGTAACCTCAACCCGAAGTTTTCTCATCAGAGTCAGTTAGTATCACACGCTGTGTGCCGGGGATAACTGCAGTCCTTAACCTTCCTCCTGCTCCTCGGCCTACCCCCTCCATGGCCTCTAACCATCATGAAGGGCCCAGGAAGAGGTGAGCCCTCAGGTCTCTTTCAGTGTGAAACTCCTGGTGTGAAGACTGATTGGAGGGCGATGTGTGGGTAAACCAGCCTTGACCTCTGGACAAATGAGAAACCAGGTTCATGCATCAGTTACATCACACATGTGGTCTGAACTCACACCTGGGCCAGCGTTCACAGTTCCCTCCCGTCAGTCTCAAAGGGGAAGAGGCAAAAGAAATATGAATGGCTTGATGCAGCCTGTCAGTGCCACTCCAAAGACACCCCAAGAATATCTTTTCTGTAGGCTCCTCTGGATCGGTGAAGGGCAGCAAGTAAGCAACCCTGTCCCAGCCCACAGGCCTTTGGGGAAGATTGTCCAAAGGAGATGTTTTTCATTTCAAGGAGATAAGACCGATTGCAAAGTCTTTCATTTGGTCTTTTACCCAGATGAACTGATCGCCTATGAACTAACAAGAAGGGAAGCAGAAGCCAACCGAAGACCCCTTCCCGAGCTGGTTCGTGCTAAGATACCGTTTAGTGCCTGCCTTCAGGCCTTTTCTGAACCAGAAAACGTTGATGATTTCTGGAGCAGTGCGCTACAGGCAAAGTCTGCAGGCGTGAAGTAAGTGTGTGTGTCTGTGTCTGTGTGTGGTGTGTGTGTGTGTGTGTACGGACGAGTGCATGTGTGTGTTCTTGTGTGGTGGAAGTGGGGTGAGGATGGGGCCTTGAGAGGCAGGAACTGGGGAAGAGGTGGCAGAGTATTGTGTGCATCTGCTCACGCTTGTTCATGTGTGGCGAGATGGGATTATGATTCACACAACCCTAGATGTCTTAGACCCCACTTGTGTGAGACCTACACAATAAAACAGGCTTATAATCTATATTCTGTACAAGGGAGGGAATAATTTTTGTTTTGCATTGTTTTGTTTTTTTTGAAAAGCTAGGTTGTGGTTTATCCTCTATTAGGAATTTCGTTTTTTATTGTTTTTTTTTTTTGCCCAGAGGGTGTAGCCGAGAACCACCCCCACCTCCCACCACCACGGCAGGAGTGATATTAATGAAGATTTGGCTTAGAACGTGGTTGACTGTGCTTCTACCTGGAGGCCGGGGGTCTCAGGGCCTCTCAAAGTGGACAGAAGGGCTCCTGAGTATGTTCAAATGAGCTGCTCAGGACTTAGGCAGGGGGTGTTCTGTTTCCACATTGTCAGCCTTGTTATTAGGTACATAAAAAGATTCCTTTTCTCCTTTGTCACCTTACTTAATTTTATACAGTCAATTCCTTGCCAACACTTTATATAACTGGAAAAAGAGTACTCATAGTGGCATAAAATGAGGGGAGGTTTGAAAGTTTGACTCTTGCGATTTCACTACTTTTAGATATTCTTTGGCCATTTTTCTTCTAGGCTAAGATTGAGCTCTAGTCAGTGTAAAATGGAGTGAAAGATGGAAGAGCTCCTGCTGTTTTTATCTCAACTTCAAGTAGCAGTAAAACCTAATCACTTATTCTCTGTGACAGCCATAATGCAGGATTTCTGTTTATTTCAGACGATCTATTTCATATGTTAACAATGGGAAAACAGAAAGAATTTATTTCAAAGGCTCAAAACAAGCCATATTTTCTTAAAATAGTGTTTTAAAAAAGATTCTTCATATCTCAATGAGGATTAATAGTAGTTTATTCATTTATCAGTTGTCCATTTTGGGGTAAGTTTTCATCCTAGAACGTCTCAGTTTTGTGTGTTTGTGTGTGTATGCTGTGGGTATGTATATGTATGTGTGTGTGTATGTGTATGTGCGTGTTCTTGCAGATGACAGTTGGTGAGTTGGCATGTTCTGTTAAACATGTGAGATTCACTTCATTGTAACTTGGAGACATCTTTGGGCAGTTAGAAATCTCCACACTATATTAGTGGTAGAAACAATTTCTTTAATTAGTCCCCCCTCAGCTTTATTGAGATATAATTGACATATAACATTGTGGAAGCTTAAGGTGTACAACATGTTGATGTGAATTTTTTTTTTTATGTTAAGTATTGACAATACACTGAAGATTCCACTTTTTTTTTTAAAGATTTTTTTTTATTGGGGAATTGGGGGGATGGGAACAGTGCTGGGGAATTGGGGGAAGGGGAACAGACAAGTTGTTGTCGTTTTGTTCTTCAGTTTAGTTGTGGAGGACGTTGTTTCACTGGCCCAAGTTGGCACCATTATTGCGCTCTTCCTGGGTGAGGCAGATCAGTCGCCGGCTTCTGGATGGCTGCTCACTGCGGCTGTTGGCCGCTCACACTGGCTGCTGGCTACATACGGTAGCCCATGGCAACCCACTGCCACAGGGGCTGCAGCCTACGCCATCGCCGGTGACTTATGGCAGCCCAGCTCCAGGTTGAGCTGTTGTTCAGCATCTTAGCTGTAGAGGGCAGTGTCACTGGCCCTCATATGTGGGATCCGAACCGGGGCCCTCTGGCGTCCCAAGCCAGTTCTTAACCATCGCGCCACTCGGCCGGCCCTGAAGATTCCTCATTTATCCTTTTCTCTTTGCCCTTTAATTCTGATTCTGTGTGGGAGGTGGAAGTGATCCAGGGACCTGGCCGCCTAGAGAGCCCGCAGGATCTGCGTGAGCTGCAGGCTGCTCTTCATTTGCCTGTCCACTTGGCCACCCCTTTTCTGCTCTTTAGAACAGTGGGTTTCAGCCTTAGAAGAACAGGGTGTGACATTCTCTCGGGGCTGTAGGAAGGAGCCTTCTGATCACTCAGAAAAGGCCCACCTTTAACATGGAGGTGGGAAACATTAGTTTTCTGCAGAGACGGAGTCTCTCACCCCTGGGGTAGTGGTCGGGAGATCTGGATTCTTCTCGCATGTCCACTTTCCAGCTTATGTTCTGTCCCGAGGGAAGTCACCACCCAATGTCCTTCTTTACCTGTAGTGGAGGAATGATGCTTGCAGACCTGGTTTTCTCTTCAATGTTGCAAATATTTAGTTGTAGGCAACGAGTCTAGACTAGACTCCCCGAGGCGGGTCTTTTTCTCTAATTCTTAACAGTAGATATTAAACGTAACTGCTTTCTGGCACTTTTGAATTGGTAGTTAGCCATAAGAAAGTGTTCAATTATCCCCTCTCCTCCCACCCTGCTCCAGCTGTGAGTTCCCTCCACTGCCTCCCAGCCCATAGTATCACCTGCCAGCTGACACCTCACCTAGATACTGACCATAGAGCAACTGCAAGAGTCTCGGGGCTCCTGAGCCACCATTTTGGAAGCCATTAATCTACTGATGACTTTTGGTTGATTTCACTGTTATATATTTTCCAGATTTTAAGCTTAATGTAAGAGGAAGAGGTCAGAGAAGAGGCATTTTTACTAAGTTGAAAATATCAGATGGAGTTTGCTGGGTTTGGTGAAATTGAGGACTTGGTTGTATTTAAGTAAGAATGATGTTTATTACTGCTTCTCAGGAGGTAGGAAAACTTAATCAGAGATAATATATAAGTTCTGGAGAGTGAGCCAGGATCATAATAGATCAGTTCCTGAGAAGAGTTAAGCTCCTGTTTTTCTGATGAGCTCCGTTATGTTATTGCCTATACCCTTCTGCCATCATCATGACAGATGCGGAGGGGTAAGTGACTTGCCTGGGGCAAAATACAGGTCAGTGACAGACCGAATCAGTGCGCAGGGCCTCATGGGTTCTAGCTGTTTCGTGGCCACATAATAATGCTACATTCTAGTGTGCCGAGCAGTTCCACATCATTTCATGAACATTGCACAGCCCTGGGTGGTAGATATTATTAATAAATCCATTCTGTAGATATGAACATGGAACCTCAGGGAGGGTCAGTGATTTACCTAGATTTGGAGTGAATTAAGTACATCTCCAAGAGCCAAATTCCTGTCAAAATTTTTACTCTGAACAGAGCTCAGTGCCTGTACTGGGACTTCTCTTCTGCACTAGGGGGCAGCAATGCATTTGTTTTCTGGATTCTGGGAGGATGCGTTTCAAGTAGAAGGCAGTGACTGAGATTTGGAAAGTGGAGTTTGTGCGTCGGGGTTCTATAATCTTTTATATTAAAAGGTATCTGTAAGACCTGCCTACAGCTAATTTTCTTCTTTATGTATACCCACCACACCCACATTGACACTCAAATAGGAATGGTTGTTATAACCAAGATGGTACACGTGGAGAGAATGAGCTGGAACCAGAGCATGAATTTGTTGTGCAAGTTGAATAGTCTGTGCATAAAATTGTCAGACTCAAGTCCAGGCAATTCACCTTTCTGAAAGTTTGCAGGGAAACTCGAGACATTGACCATATGTATTAATTTTAAAATTTAAGGCACAGATTTAGATATTTTAGATACCCATAATATATATATACCGCTAGGATCCATGTGATGAGGTGTTAGGTAACTGGTATTTAAATGCAGCCCTGGCATTTCAAATAGTCAACCTCAACCAAAGTCCCATAAAAACCCTCTTTACGCCAACTCTGTGCTGTAACATGGTGGGAGCAGAGATGTGAGGATTGCTCGGAGAGCTTTTTCAAACCCCACATATAAACACATAATGCATGTTTGCCCATACACACCTACAAATTCCAGCAAGGATTTTAGGGAAAAAAACTAACGTTAATGGTTGAAAAGTGCTTTTCTGAAATATAACATGCCACAGCAAAGTAAAAGTAATAATTTTTCAATGGGCCCAAAATCATTATCAAGGGACAGTATTCTCCTATGTTAAACATCCTTTTCTTATGAAAAGGCCAGAATGGATGAGGAGTAGGTGAGTGTGTGTCTGCTTATGTCTGCGTGTTCCTCCTCTTCAGTCCAGCACTGGAACTGCCAGGTATGCCTCAGACAAAGCTTGTGATGCTTCATGAATTGTATTCATAATTCCTATTGCCTTGTTTCATTGATATAATCCCCCTTGTGTTTCCCAGAACATCTCGCTTTGCCTCATTCCCTGAGTACTTGGTAGTACAGATAAAGAAGTTCACTTTTGGTCTCGACTGGGTTCCCAAAAAATTTGGTAGGTATCTTTGGCATGCTTTTGCTTAAAACATCAAATTTAGCTATTGAAAAATCACGGCGTGTGAAAGAGCTCATGTAGTTGGTTGCCAGCAACAGTTCCCTTTCATTCTTTTTCCATTATTCCTACCTTTCTCTTTTGAATCAGAGTATATGGCAAGCACTGATGATAAAATTGCCACATGCTAACCCACCCCTCTAATAATGGGGTCTGGAGTGAGTGGATTGTAAGAGTGAAGACAAGACCCTCACATTATCAAATAAACAATGCTGCTTCCCAAACATTAACGCGCATACAGATGACTTGGGATCTTGGTGAAATGCAGGGGCTTGTTCCGCAGGTCTGGGGTGGGGCTTGGGATTCTTTATTTCTAACAGGCTCCCAGGTGCTGCTGGTGCTGCTGGTCCAAGACCACAGTTGGAGGTGCAAGTTGAACATACACTCTCCTCTTAGCACCTCTCCTCTGCTTCACAGCAGGCAGGTGTGACCAATGACATCCTCTCAAATCATACACATCTTATAAATAATAAAATAAGCATAGTCAGTTGCATTACACAGTCAAAAAAGGGATGTGACTGGCTTAACTGAGCTTTCTTCTTGCTACTTTTAAAGGCCCTTGACCATTGTTAGGGGTTAATTTTCCAGACAGGGCATAAGAGCATTTTTCCCACCATCGTGATCTAATATCAAGGGTGTTTGATTAGCCTGTCCTCAGTGGCGTAGAAGGATGTACAGTTTTACCCTCTGCGGTTTCTCAAGCAAGCCCCTCAGACTGTTTGTGCCAGTCTTTTAATGTTTTTATGTTTTTGAGCACTTAAAAAAACAAGTACTCAAGTTTTACACTGGTTCCTTCAGCACTCATCTGCTCATCTGAAGGGGATAGGAAACAACAATTGAAAAATCGGCTGGAGTGATTTCCCAGAAGCCTCCGGCTCTACCAGTTTACACAGCACTTGTTTGCCCTGTGACATGATGCTGGGCTGTGGCTGATTCTGGAGCAGATCTTTGCTCTTCTTGGCGGAATAATTTTGTGCAGGGAGGAGGGTAGATGGCAGAAGCCTCATCATTCAGCCTTTCCTCCATGGACCTGAGGCGCACCTGGGAGAAAACTGGCTGCTTCCAAGGGCTTTGAACTGCTTTGGAAACTGTTTTCTTGTTTTTCTTTGCCCCTGGAATTCCTGTAAAGGAACAGAAATTCAGATGAGATGTGATAGACTTGCCGAATTTAAAAGAGTCCCAAACTTTTCTTTAATGAACCTGAATTTTTCTGTTGAGGAATATTTGTATTGATGTTGTGGGTGATGTGTTTGCTTTTGCTGTCCCCTGAGGTTTGAATTTTTTTTTAAACTAAGCTTTTTCGTTGAGTGGTTGTTTTAAAATAGGATTTCTGTACCTGGCATCGTGACTGGTTTTGGGGTTAGTATTTTCGGGTTCTGTTTACTAGCCCAAGAGACATACCCTACACTGACATTTGAACCCATTAATTATTATTACTATATCTGAATATATGCAATACTAAATATCAATAGGATATTAGACTGATAAATTTATATTTGAGTAAGTCAACACAGTAACAACTGAACTGAGAAGTTAAAAAAAATGTACCCCAAGACTAATACATTTGAGATGCGAGTGATTTCTTTACACTTCATTCTTTATTTATTACTTTAGCTAAATCACATTACTCATCATGATGTGAGAAAGGGCACAGACTACGGGTTGCAAACTCAAATACCTAACAAGGACCAGGTGATAATGTGAATTACCTGTGATAGGGCTGAGTGTAAGAAACATGTAGCTAGCTTTCTTGGCCTTTCTTGGGTATTCCACTTTGGATAAAGACAGGGATTAGAAAAACATTTTCTGTCCTAAGAATCAGAATAGCAGACATATGATGCCCAGGTTCTCAGGGACAATAGGAAACAGTGGGGTCTGTGACAGACCATCACAGAGGGCACACGTATGAGACTATGCTGTAGCCTTCTGTTTTTCAAAATAAGCTGGAAATCTGGACTTCTAAAGTAAGTCTTCTGATTTAAAAATTGGAATCTGTTGCTAACATTTTAAAACCATCAAACAGAGAGTGTCTGGGCTACAGATGGTCTGTGGGCTGCCAGTTTGCGACCTCTGGCTTCTCCCATTTGCTCTTGTTCACTGTAGAATCCTGCCACCCTCTGTAATTGCCCCCAGTTCTCCAGATCAGTCTTGCTAAGTCTGCTGGTCCTGTGATTACTCCAGGGAACTGAAAAGCCACCCCCTTAGGTCTGCCTAGACACATGCATGTAGAGTTAGATGTGTTGGTTTTAGGAGATGAATGTGGGATTTTGGAGAATCCAGTGAATGTGTGACCTCTCTCATTTTGCAGATGTTTCTGTGGACATGCCAGATCTTCTGGATATCAACCATCTCCGAGCCAGGGGGTTACAGCCAGGAGAGGAGGAACTTCCGGACATCAGCCCCCCCATAGTCATTCCTGATGACTCTAAAGGTATCATCTTCTTGCAGGAGGACGATCTCTTCCGCCCCCACCACTCTGCTCTGCGGGAAAAGTCACTTTGCTCCCACCGCTCTGCTGTCCCTGGGCTGTCTTCCTGTGTTGTAACCCACCTTAGTCCCACGGCAGTGAGGCCTGGCTGCAACATAAACTTAAAATAGATGTGGAGCGAGGCACAGACCCATCCCAAGTAGTTGACACGGGCTTGTGGAAATCACTGGCAATAGAGGCAGCCGGTTTCCAGAAAGTTTTCAGGTTATGTTGCCTCTGAGATCGCCTTCTCTCCTCTGTCTGCTCCCCCAATGGGCCTGGAAGGCAGAGAAAGAGTGCATTTTCAGTAGGCTTGTAGTCCAGGGGGGCTGTGTCATTCTCAGGAGAACCTTCAGACAACCAGAAGTAGAAATTCAACAGGGAATGTTGGTTTAAAAAATCTTGCCCATGTCTCACCTCCCTAGCTTCATCACTGCTTCATAGCAAGGGAGCGGTTTGAGTTTTTCTTTCGCTCTGTGAATGCTAAATTGGTCATTGTTTAGAATACTTAAATTTTTAGGGAAAAGGACACATATAAAATAGTTGCCTCACATTTGTGGTTCTAAGGGCAGTGTCAAAATATCTTGGTATCATTATTAGCCCAATTAGTCGGATGAAATCAGCTTCATTCTGACTTTGCTTGCTTACGTGTTTACTGTTCACCTTCCTAAGGAGTTAATTAGGTGAAATCACTAATAGTGATGGAGCACTCTGGGCCCCTCTACCAAAAGTATTCCATCAGTCGAGCAATGACTGTTATTGGTGACTTAGTTTAAGTGCACAGAAGGGTAAGGAGAACCCAGCAGGAGCAAGATAGGCACCAGATAGGCACCTTTGTTACCTTATTCTCCAATGCTAAGTCAGATGTTAAAGCACACAGTGTGGGGAGCAGAGAAGAGACCTGTACGTGGGGAATTCTGGGTATTAAAGGGGTTTAAGGAAGAAGAGATCAGTGTGAGCATCAGGGAAATACCAGATGGCTTATTAGCACTGTTCCTGCTTTCTCTGAGGCTCACAGTAGCATCCTTGGTTTGTGACTATACAGAGTTCTTAGAAATACAGGGAGAGAAATGATTTAGTTCGTGGAGATGATACTCAGAGCATCATGTTTTATATCTGCTCTAAATGCCTGAAACCTGGTATCTTCCCTCCTTACTAAAATGACTGTGTCGTGCAGGCTGGGGTGGCCTCTGTAGGGGCATTGAGAGGTTGACAACATTGTGGGGTCCCTAGGACTGACAGCGTTAGGGCATGCCCTGCATTGATTCTTTTTTCTTTCTCTAAAACGCTTTACTATGGTTTGATCTCATTTTCTGCCCTTTCCCTTGATTTCCAGATCGCCTGATGAACCAGCTGATAGACCGTATGTATCTTTTGAAAATGTTCCCAGTGCTCTACAATTGTTTTTGGTCTAACACATTTACCTGTGGGGGTTCTTTTCTGTATGTGTGCATATGCAGCTTTGCCACAGTGGAAATGGTTCTTTGTCTGCAAGTTGAGTGAGCAGCAAATGTAAACCAGTGGCATGGTGATTAAGTGGCCCTGTAGCTCAGGACAGTGACCGACCCTAAGCATGAGAGCCACCCAGCCCTGGGTTAGAAGTTCGGCTCTGCCATTTATGACTGTATAACCTAGAATAACTTCCTTAACTTCCCTGAGCTTGAGTTTTCTCATGAGTGAATGGGGGCTAACGATGCCGTTTCTTCCCTCTGGCCACATGAACAGGCCTCTTTCGGTAGTGATGGCGCAGTGGCCAGTTATTTTGTATAGTCTTGACGCTGGACAGATAATGAAGACACACAACTTCATTATGGTAGCGATGGTGGTATTATTGGTTGGTATTATTGGTGGTATAATGGTGGTAGTATTAATTAATACTCTCAAATTATTAGTTTCATTGGGTTTGTGTTAATTTTGTAGCCTTTTAGTTCTTAATCCTATGGGAGTTGATACTCCTTGGTTTTCTAAAAAGAACATTAAAACAGAAACTATTTATAGCAAATGTTCAGATATTAATTAGGAGGAGAAGGGAGTGTTTAACACTAAGTGCTCTAAATACTTTTGTCTGCAAAGCCTTTCTGGACATGAACTATTGTTAGCTTAGAAGGTCAAGAGTTTTACACTGCAAATGATTGATCATGTGGCTTAGACCTTCACCTTTCCTTTCTTGAATCAATTCTGATTTGCTGATTTCTAGAAGAAGCTGTTAGGATCAGTGAGGATCTTGGGAAAACCATTGCCTCTGTGAATAATCTCATTGTAATAACAACAGTGGCTGTCAATACTTTTGAATGGTTACCACGAGTCACATTGCATTTATTATTCCATAAATTCTTTCAGATGTATGTAATGTTACTATTACAAAGTTCAGATTCTCGTTTCATTATTGTAGTAAGAAGAGCAGGACAGGTGACCTTTTACAGAGGATAAAACTGAGACCCAGGAACATTCAGAGACCCAAGAGCTGGGACCAGAACCAGGGCTAGGACGAGTGTGCTTTTCGTGCCACTCGACCTTTCCTGGACTGTGAGAGGTTTGCTGGCTGCTCCTGATCCTCCAGAGAGCTGGCTGCAGGATCTTACCCCAGGGGAGGTGATGGGTGGTGGAACTTACCAGCCAGAGGAGTTTGTCTCTGACCGTAGCACTCAGCCATTTCCCAGTGTTAATGGTCTGGGCATTGATTTCCTATTAGATCTAAGCTTGCTGTCTTATCGGCAATTACCTGCTACTTAACAGGAGAAAATGGAATTATCTGGGGTTAATTTGCCTTTCTCAGATTTTTAAAAGGAATAACTTTGATTATTTTCTTATTATAAAGTAAAGAGATATTTAGAAACTGGATTAGCAATAAAAGTCATCTATGGTTTCATCATCCATCTGTACCCACTATTCATATTTAGTATATATCCTCCTGCTATTCTTTACTTATGCGTGGCTCACTTTATTTTTCACAAAAATGGAATTATACCTTTTCAGTCTCACATGCTGCTGTATATGCTCTTACATACATACATACACTCCTTATTGCACTGCACTTCTTAGACTGCATTCCAGGGAACGTTAGAGTGTAACAAGATGCCGAAAGGTTTTATAGTGTTTTACTGTAGGAGTCTTAAGTACAGGACTTTTGAATCTTCACTATAAAGCACACTGTGACTTGCTAAGGGGAGAATATAGAGAAGGCAGGTTTTAAAAATTTATTTAACCATGGAAACCCCTTGCTTTGCGGTTCAATAATTACATCTCTCCTACGATACGGGGACACCACAGGGCAATTTGGGAATCACTGCTGTCCTACGTCATTGCTTTCTTAAAATTTGACCTTAATAGCATGTTCTGTTATTTTCTTTATAAGAGAGAAGTTTGATAAACACATTTTCAATATAATTTTTGTGGAACAGATGTCTCTGTTTCTCAATCCTTCTATTAATTGCCATCTTTGACTGAATTTTCAGTAGATTAGAGACCTTAGGACATAGAAAACAGAAGGGGTATGTTTTGTGCTCCTGTTTCCCCCCTTTGGTACAATTTGAGAACACCGTGTAGGAGTGTATGTGTATACATATAAGCACATACATGGATATACATATACAAATATATACATACAAACCTATAGGCGTGTGTACACACATACACACATGTGTATGTATACACACTTATAAATTTGTATGCATATATATGTACACGTATATACATATGTGCTTATATGTATACACATATACTCGTATACATACACATATATTTAGGCATACATACACACACATCTCTACCAATATCAATATATTATTATGAAAATAAAAGAAAACAAAACCTTCAGTGTCGAAGCCCAAGTTAGGTTTGTAAAGCTGTCTCTTTTAATATCTTAAACGTACACAATTAAAAAACATGTTTTTCTTCTGCGCTTAACATTTGGGCTCTCCGTTTCTCAGGGTTGATTACTTCCTTTGATTGCTGATAGGTCTAAAAGCCTGCTATCACTTTCTGTGAGATTTAAGGAACAGGATTTCTGGCCTGTAGCTAATGCTTTTCTCTTCAAATTTTAGTCATAGGAGAGGCAGCTGTAAAGGTCTTGAGTATGAACTCAGAGGCTGAAACGTTCTGGAAATATACTAAATCTCCCCATACGAAATTAGACAATTGTTTTTTCAGTGCTTGGATTGTCCAGGTAATTATTATGGTTCCTATTGAGGTCAAAGATGTAGGTCAACTCAAATAGCTTAATCTTTGGCTGGCTTAAAACAAAACCAAACCACATTACACCAGCATCTGCACGCCAAACAACATAGCACTTTATTCAGCTAGCACGTGGATAAGGGCTGAAGAGAAGCTGAGACAAGAAGAAAGAGCGTTTACTTTTTTACACCAGACTGTCCTGTTGTGCTCTGTAGCATCAGACATCGATGAGTCGTCGGTGATGCAGTTGGCTGAGATGGGTTTCCCCCTGGAAGCGTGTCGGAAGGCCGTGTACTTTACTGGAAATATGGGAGCCGAGGTGGCCTTTAACTGGATCATCGTTCACATGGAAGAGCCAGGTAGGTGGTGGGAAGGTGGGGTGGTTGGAGTCTGATGCCGTCTTCAGTGACACTAAGCCTTGATACCTCCATGTCCTCTGGCTGTGTTCCAGAAAATGACTCTGTAGCTCATAATCTCGGTAATGGGGGCCAGGGTTACTCTTTCCTGTAGAGAAAAGGCACAGTGTTTGTCTTTTCTCTCTCTTTTTTAATAACAGCGTTATTGAGACATAATTCACCCTTTAGCGTGTATATAATTCAGTGGCAGAAAGACCACTGGAAAGATGTGGGATATACTTGTAGCTAGGAGATGAGGAGGACTTGGTATAGAAAAATGCGCGTGAAAAATGGGGACTGTTTAGTTAGCTTTCACTTTCATCTACTTTATTCAGATAATTCGTCCATTTAAAATGTACATTTCAATGGTTTTGAGTAAATTTACAGAGTTGTACAACTATCACCACTGTCTAATTTTATAACATTTTTGTCCTCCCAAAAGAAATCCTATACACATTAGCAGTCACTTTCCACCCCCGGTTCTTCCTAGACTCTGACAACCACTAATCTACTTTCTAGCTCTACGGATTTGCCTATTTTGGGCATTTCATATTAATGGAATCATACAATGAGATCTTTTGTGTCTTGTTTATATCACTTAGCATAATGCTTTCAAGGTTCATCTATGTTGTAGCATATATCAGTACTTCCTTCTTATGACTGAATAATATTTTACTGTATGAACACACTACATTTTATTTATCCTTTTATCAATTAATGGACATTTGGGTTGGTTCCACTTTTTGGCTATTATGAATAATGTGGCTATAAATGTACAAATTTTTGTGTGGACATATGTTTTCATTTCTCTTGAGTGGAGTTGCTGTGTCATATGGTAACTCTGTGTTTAACTTTTTGAGGAACTGCCAAATGGTTGTCAACAGTGTCTGCACCATTTTACATTCCACCAGCAATGTATGAGGGTTCCAATTTTTCCATATTCTCACCAACCCTTGTTATTGTTTTTATTATAGCCACTTCAGTGGATGTGAAGTGATATCTCATTGTGGTTTTGATTTGCATTATCCTAATGAATAATGATGTAGAGCATCTTTTCACATTGGTCACTTATATATCTTTGGAGAAATATCTATTCAAATCCTTTGCCTATTTTTAATGAGATTATTTGTCTTTTTATTGTTGAGTTGAAAGTTCTTTTTTAATATTCTGAATACAAGTATCTTAGATACATGATTTGGAAATATTTTCTCCCGTTCTGTGGATTGTCTTTACTTTCTCAATGGTGTTTTTGGGAGCACAAAAGTTTTTAATTTTGATCAAGTTTAATTGATCTATTTTTTCTTTTGTCATTTATGCTTTTGGTGTCGTATCTAAGAAACCATTACCTAACCCAAGGACACAAAGATTTACTTACTCATGTGTTTTCCTCTTCGAGTTTTGTAGTTTTGGCTCTTACATTTAGGTCAATGACCCATTTTGAGTTAATTTTTGTATATGGTGTGAGGTAAGGATCTACCTTTATTCTTTGGCGTGTGACTATGTAATTGAGCACCATTTGTTGAGAAGACTGTCCTCTCCCCATTGAACGGTCTTGGTACCCTTGTTGAAAATCAATTTGGGCATATATATATATATATATATATATATATATGTTTATTTCTGGACTCTCAATTCTATTTGATTGACCTATGTGTTTATCCTTATGCCAGTACTGACTGTCTTGATTATTGCAACTTTGTAGGTATTTTTTACTTCTTAACTCTAAAGTGTTTATTTCAAGACCAAAAAGCAAAAAGGCCTGAGTGTGACAATTTTCCCCAGATTTTGCCGAACCGTTGACCATGCCTGGTTATGGAGGAGCAGCTTCCGCTGGAGCCTCTGTTTTTGGTGCTACTGGGTTGGATAACCAGCCTCCAGAGGAGATTGTTGCTATCATTACCTCCATGGGATTCCATCGAAATCAGGCTGTTCAGGCGCTACGAGCAACGGTAAGACTGTGTGTATGGATACCCTCCTCTTATGGGCGTGGTTTGTATTTCTGCCGGAAGCAACTGAGACTTTCCGAAGTGCTTAGGTCATTTTGGGTCATGTTTGCCTCACTCTATACCCCACCATGGCCCACAGAGATTTATTTGCATACAGTATATATAAAGCTCCAATCAATGATTGAGGGAATCATACAGAGAGCTTAAGAATAGAGATGAGAAAAAAATAGGGAGATAATACTGCTGAGGCAAGATGACCAAATTGAAAGAAACTTCGTATCATTTTAATGTTTACTAGCAGAGGGTCAGAGATTTGACTTGGCGCTTGCTTGTGGCTATACAGCAAAGAGGGATGGGTGAGATTCTGTGCTCTCAATAAGCCAGTTCTTTAGGAGAAATTATGCTTTTCTGATACCAAGATCTTATAGAAATTCCCTCAAAAGTCCATAGAGAAGACTGAATAGCTGCTTGGAAATCTCTGCTTCTATTTCTCTCTGCAGAGAGAGGAGATTCTTTCAGTATCCATGAACTTTCTGATATTGTTGCGAGATAAGGGACCATGAAACTAGAGCATAGATAGAAGTCTTCCTTTTGCAGTGCAGATATCTATTTAATATTGAGGGAAAGTACTTTTTTTTTTTTTAACCCATCCTTCCTTTGAGTGGTTGTCTGCTACTGACTCCTTCTTGCCTATCCTGACTGGCTGCCTGCTGGGGTGCATTGCTGAGGTCATGGGAGCTCTCGACTGGCTCATGGGAATGTGGCTGAAACAATCTGTTTCCATTTAAAATGCTTGAAATACCTCAACCAGTGTTTGTTTCACTCAGGACACTTGCTTATACTCCACTTAGTTTACTTCCCTGGCTGTTTTATTGGAGATTCTATGTCTGAACAAATTCTTTACCCTGCTAGTGATATCACAAACGGGGAGATGGAAATGTTTTTCTGGTCAATTGGTTTGAACTGCATGGAGTTCAGCTTAAAATAATTTAACTAACCAGTGTTGTCATCATTAATCATTGCATTAATCTTGCCTCTACTGCAGTTAAACCATTCTGCCAACATTTGGGGAGATGAGGCACTAATACGGTACTAACATTTGTACCCCTCTGCCTTGCAATGTTATCTGCAGAAAATAAAGTTGGCAGAGAATGTAGCATGTGCAATTACTGTGGCCTTAAAAAGGGCTGCACTCAAACAAATGTCATACTCTTTGGCATTCTGTACCCCATCATTATCATTATCAGCCTACAGAAATGCTGAGCTAACACTGATATGGGCTTTGGAATGCTGATCTGCTGCTCAGAACTGTTTTCCAGGGAATCTCATTACAGACCTCGATTGGGAGACTTGCAAAATGCCAAGTGCACTTTCTATGCAGAGTCAGACCTTCTTACTCAGAGGCACTTAGGACTAATGAATTCAGGCCTCCTGTCCTGGCAGCTTGACATCCTGGTTCAAATGGTCAGGATATAATGAGTCCTGGGGACTGCATATATTGTAAAATATTTTGTTTTATTAGGATAGTAACCTGGAAAGAGCACTGGATTGGATCTTTAGCCACCCTGAGTTTGAGGAGGACAGTGACTTTGTGATTGAGATGGAGAATAACGCCAATGCAAACATTATTTCTGAGGCCAAGCCTGAAGGGCCTAGAGTCAAGGATGGATCTGGAAGTAAGTTCTTGCCTGAGGGGTTGTCTGAGCCATTGTGACTACACTGGGCCCATGCCCTCCCTTCCCACCGTTCATAGTACAGCCTTTGCCGTCATTCAAAAGTTATAATAGCACTGATCCCATCTTTTCATAAATGGTGCAATTCGCGACTTTGCATGGCCACAGTGATCTGACAAAGTCTGGGACAAACTCAGAGTCATGTCTTCCGGTAGTGTGTGTGCTCGTTTAGCGCCAGCTTTGACTTTTATCTGTCCTTGGAGATAAAATTTTTTCACGGACCACAGAAGTTTTTGTCCAAAAGAGAACATTTATTTTTGTGGTGGCATCTTTTGAGCGGTTGAAGAGCAGTTTAATGCCCTTGACTCTGTCACTGCCCATACCAACTGCTGATAATTTTCTGAAGGGCTGTCAGTATTGCAGGAAGAGGTGCCATAGGCCAATGCTCTACCTTTTCTGTAAGCCGACATTTATATATGTCACTACATGCCAGGCACTGGTTTAAGCACTTTGCATAGAAAGTTATTTACTCATCAGGACACCCATATTACAAGTGAGAAAACAGGGGCACAGAAAGATTAGGCACCTTGCCTGACTGAGGTCACACAGCTCTTAAGAGGTGGAGCCAAAATTCAAACCCAGAATCCATGTTCTTCATCACTGTGATACCTGTTTCTTGAATTGTCATTGCCTACAGAATAATGTTCAGGCCCTTTAGCCTGGCATTCATCCCTTCTTCCAGTCAGATGTCAGCCTGCCTTGTCTCTCTGTGTCATTTCTTCTGCACCCCTCGCCCCCGCCCCCCACCTCCACCCCCCACCTATGTCCCAGATGCCTGGTATTGAAGCCACAGCCTCAGCCCACTCAGTTGTCATTGACATTCTTCTTGCTACTTCCAGGTGTTTGCTCAGGTTAATCCTTAATTGTGAAAAGCCCTTCACGCCCATCGCTGCACAGTAAAATCCTTACCGTGATTCAGAACTTGGCCCAGATGCTGTTTCTCTGGACGGCTCTGCCAGGTCCTTCCTTGTCATAATCAGTCCATCCTTACCTCATATGCTAGTAATGATTAGACCAATATTAGCAGTACTTCCATTTGTGCTGTCTTTAATCCTCACAGTAACCCTAGAGGCAGAATTTACAGATGAAGAAACTGAGGTAAAGAAGGTTGATTGCCAAGGTCACATAGCTAGTGATGGGTAGAGCCTGAATTCCAACCCAGGCCTGTGCTGGGAGCCACCATAACATAGTGTTTCTTCTTCTGTTATTAGAGGTATCAGATTTATCTTGCGATAAAATTATTTATGTAAATATTTGTGTCTCTGGTTTAACTGGAAGCCTGTGGAGGACAGAGGCCATTTTACTTTTATAAATTTCATAATGTCCAGCACATAGAAAGTACCAAGTAAAAACTAATTGGATATATTTAAATTTACATTAGCAGCATTTGTTCCTATATTCATACAGCTGTAGCTCTACTCATTGATGGTCTTATCAGACCTAATATGTATATATTGACCTAGCTCTAGAGAGAGAAGGTGGGAGGGAAACTTGCTTCTTTTTTTATATAAAATAGGAATTTCTTCACTAAAATGGTCTTATTCCATCTAGGTAAGAAAAGGATGAGGCATAGTTATCCCAAATTCCATACTTATCTAAAGGGTCTCGTATTACTTTTCACAAATCAATGGCTTGCCTAAAACATTAAAAGCTGTAAGGAACAAATTACTCAGTAATTCATGCGCAGGATTTAATATGTGTTACATGTCCATTGGTTCTCTGCTTTCTTGACTTTCTGTAATGGGCTTTTCTTTGGGGATGGTGAGTTCTTCTCACAGAAGGAATAATCCACAAGATGGAGCCATTGTAAAGCTGCCAAGATATTTGGCTGCAGAGGGAGGGAGATTCTGGTCATTAGGGTTTTCTGTTTTCTGATGGAGCTTGGAGGGTATCGACCACTTTCTGAAAGATGGTCATTAATGATATGGAACAGCTACATCATCTTTTTGGACTTACTGAACCCAGAGTGATCTGCAGATATTCCTGGCACTACTGGCTTTTGAGTTGCATCCTTGAATAGGATGTCATGATAATGCTTTCAAACACCCTTTAATTTAAGGCACTGTGGGCCAAACTCTGTGGCCTTACTCCTCTTTGTCCCCAAAGTTAGGGTACTTATGGGTGAGGGTGGGGAAAGAGATGGTGACTCACTATGAGAAATCATGTACAGGATGTTCAGACTCTAAGGGCAGCAGCAGATGAACATTTTAATTATGAAAAACTAAAAAACATAAACCTCCCTAATTCAACAAATGCATTTTGTGTCTGATTTTATAGAACAGATGTTTTTAAAGTAACCTTTCCAGCACTTTGCATGGCCCATGGGATGTGATCAGCCAGTGGATGATTGAGTGAAGAATTAGGTGAATGCCAGAGGTCACAGGAATATATATATCTTTTTTTCTGCCTCCACTAAGTGCCATATGGAGGAACTGGCATTGTACTGTTTTGTGTTACATTGCATACGTCACAGGAAAGGACAAAGATGATTTCTTGCACTTTGTTGTATTAGCACCTGAACACACATGTGGAGTCGCTTCTCCCTTCTTCTAAAAAAAATTAACATTTATATTGTTTATTTTTCTTATAATTAAAAGGACATATAATAATTTTAGCAACTTGAGAAAATATAGATATATGAAAAGAGGAAAATAAAGACTCAACAATCCTATTACAGTCATAACCACTATTAATGTTTTGTGTATATTCTGTAGACTTTTCTATGCAAATATATAAAAATGAATATAAATGTGTATATTTATAAAACATATAACATTTTATTCTATATGTTATTTTATAACCTGCTTTCCCCGTAACTGTGGTTATACATATATGTAAGTCTAGATCATTGAACATATATTAATATTCCATTGTGTAAGTGTACCATAATTTATATACCTAATTTTAGGCCAACTAGTTATTTAAATAAAAAATGATTATAGAAAGAGTTTCAAATAATGGAGTTATTTGCACATTCAGAAGATGACAGCAGCGATTTTTAAAAATTCTTAAAGGATAATGCAGTTCACAGAAGTACAACAAATGCCTCTTTTAATCGCTATCCAGGTAATAAACATTTGTTCACATGTTAGTTTTTTTCCCTTTCTTACTTCTCTATTAAAAATAATGCTGTGATGAAAATTCTTGGGCCCTCATTTGATTATTTCCTTAGGGTAAGTTTCTAGAAGTGAAGCTTTTGAGTCAAAACTGCATATTTTTGAGGTTTTAATACAGATTATTATCTTACCCCTAGAAATGCAGCACTGGTGCCTCTCCTGTTCCCCATCTCTCCCAACAGTGCTGTCGGGCTGAGCACGCTTCATGTGTTTTCATATTTTTATTGCCTAGTTGTTTTTCTTCTTGTGTTAATTGCTTCCTTATTTCCTTTGGCCCATTTTCCTGTTTTTATTGAGGTTTTCAGCATTAAAAAAATATTTTTTTTTATTGATGTGTGTGAGTTTCACGAATTGTCTATTAGTGTGGGAATACCTGGCAGCTTTACAATATTGAGTTTTTCTGACCAGAAACATGTTATCCTTTTCCTTTGATTCATGTTTGCCTCCTGCAAAGCTGTATGGTTTTCTTTATAAACACCCTGTGCATTTCTGGTTTAGTCACTTTCCAGAAGTATATTTTCTGTGTTACTTATGAATACATTTTTTCCCCCATTTTATTTTCTAAATTGTTACTGCTGAATTTTGAAAAGTTCCTGATCTTGTAATTGACCATTCTGCAGGGATTTGATTAGAGTTATGTTAAATTGATAGGTTAACTTGGGGAGATGTGTATTCTCTATAGGTAGGTTGTTTATTTTCCCGAGACGTTGCTTTTTATCTTTTTTTTTTTTTGGTTGGTGAATCGGTTGAGACATTTGACATGAGGGTGGTATTGAAGACAATTTAAAGGTAAGGTTAATTGCTATTTAGGAGCAAAGTGGAGAGCCCAAACAGACAGACAAACCAACCAAATAAAACCAACAACCTTAATTTTCAGGATTTTGCTGTAAGTGGCAGGAGAGCTGAGTCAAACTTATCTAAGCAGAAAAGGAAGTATGGTATCCTAAAAGCTGGAAAGACCCAGGGAGATTTGACTCCAGGCATGCCCTTGACTGCTGGACTCAAACACTTTGACCTGGAAGCACCCCTTGGCTCTGCTTCCTTTGGGTTAGTTCCAGTTTCAGACAGGCTCTCCCCGATGCCACAAATGGCCTTCAGTGCCTCCTTTGGCCATATTTTTCCAGGTTAAAATCCACCAGAAAGAATCTTGTCCCAGAGTTCTCAGCAAAACGCCTGAGAATCTGAGACTCCGGCATGTGCCCGTCCTTCCCCTGGTTACGGGCCCCATGCATGGAGCCTGAGGGTGGAGACACCTTTCTTCCTAGCTCAGGCACTGGTTCACACTTGAACCAATGGTCCTGGATCAGCAGAATCAGCAGAACCTGTGAATTTGTTAGAAATGTGAATTCTTGGGCCCCACTCAGACCTACTGAATTAGGACCTCTGGGGGCAGTCATAGCCATCTGTGTTTTAGCAGGCCTTTCAAGTGGTTCTAATGCAGTTTTAAATTTGAGGACCACACCTTAAAAGCAAGATTAGGTTCCTGTTGTCTTAAGAAGGAGGGAGTGGCTACTAGGACATGACTAAACCAGGTTAACACTAAAAATAATGACAAGTTTGGTGTTTGGTTGGGAAAAAAGTGATTATTACAAGGACAGGGATTAAAGAAGCACTTGTATCAGATTCGTCCTTTATGGAACATGTTCATTAAAAATCACTATTGCCATCTTTTTGCATGAGGAAGTCAAGTCATTGCATGAAATTCTTTTATTTAAATGTTATCTCATTTGCTTAAAAAGGTGAGTGCTACTAACACTTGATGAAATAGTAGCTGGTCTTTATCAACCGCACCTCTCTACTCCTTAAGCAGAGTATTCGAATGAGGAG